ACATTTTCTGCTCATCAGAAGTGCCTAGTCCTGTATCTGACCACAGAACTATAGAATAGTTCACTGTGAAAGGGACTTCTGGAGGTCATTTGGTTGAATGCTTTGCTCAAAGCAGGGTCTCAAAAATATATAATCTTTCAAAGGTTGCTCAGGACTTTTTCCAGATGGGTTTTGAGTATTTCCACAACCAAGACTGACATTTCCACAGAAAAATGTATCTATGTTGACACACTAAGTCTGAGAGCAGGTGGAAACCATTTACAAAATTCACTCTGACACTGAACTATCAAACATCATATGAATAACTGAGGAAAAAAACACCTTATGAATATTTGAAGTTATGAGAAAATATTAAACTTCTGGAATTTAAATGATACTGGCATTCAGTGCAATTTTGATCAAACTATAGAAGTGCACAAGAAGCAATGGAAAATTCTTAAAGGAAAAAAATTCATAGAATGTGCTTTTCTCTTGTGATTCTCCAGGTGAATGCAAATGGCTTTCACACAAAATTCAAGGATTTCCTTCCTTTTTATCTTATTTCTTGCTTCCTCATTTATTTAAAATCCCTTCCCTATTTTTTGTCACTCTGCTGTTTCTATATCATGGAATATCACATATTCAGTAAAGTAAATAAAATGTAGCCAGTTTTTTGGCATAACCAATTCCATTTTCTTTGTAAGCCAACTAAGAATGAACAGTTTTACTGTTATGTGCACTAAATGTACCTGCCTTGACAAACAGCCAAGAAGAGAAATGGTCTCTTCTTTTCCAGACTTTCATTATCTTTGCAACATGTGGAGATTGCATATTTCTAATTTCCCATTTCCTGTTGAAGTCTTTTTGTAAACAGATTTAACTCTAAATAGATCCTAAATTGTGTGTCCTTTTAAATACATCATAAAGTCAAAGAACACAGCAAACTGTGTCTTTGGCAGAAGCTTACTTTCAAAAAGCAGTCTAACAACCTAACAGCCTAACATTTCAGAGCTACCATCTCATGTGGTAGCTCAGAAATGAAAAGTGTTATCACCAGGAGAAAAGGCTGCTGTTCCCAATGCCCAGGAATGGAAAAACATTTTCTCGCAACATGAGGTGTAGAAATCTTTGGGCAAATGGGAGATGTGTAACCAAGCCTTACTACTATTCCGCCTGCCTTTTGACAGATGATTCATCCCTTTCTCTCCCGCCGCTAATCACAGGCCAATATACCTTTCCTTCTGCCTGTTGTTCTTGCTTCCCACCACCCACTGAGAGTGGACCTCAAGCTGGCCAGATCCAGGAGGTTGAATTATCAGGCCCTTTTCTTCAAGCAGAGGGGAGTTTGTTCTCTAATAGGTTGTTTAAAAACAAATGTTTCCACTTTCCGCAGTATCTTTGCAGAGAAAGTGCTTGCCTGCAAGCTTTCTTTCAGTGGCTTCTTGGATTGCAAAACAGCCCACACAGTTCCTCTGCAGCTCTCTAGGAGAAACCTCTTCCTTTCCATTGCCCCAGAGGCTTCCCCACAGGTCCACTTTCTGTTCCTCTTAGGAAAACCCCAGGTTTCCTCCCATCCTCTCCACGCACTCCAGCAAGATGATCTGAAACATCCCCCCCACCCTGTTCACACTCACGACTCTCAAGGAAGAAACCATCTCCTCATCTTTCTAGATGGCTTTGCCCTGTGAAAGACATCAGGATCCAGGGCAAGGTGGAGATGCAGCCTGCCTTCTTCCCCCGCAAGAGGTACCCTGGCAAATAGGAACAAACATTCCAATATCTTACACCTTCCAGCCCTTCGTCATCCACCCCCCCCCTTTTCTGATCTGAATGGTGCAGCTGGGTTCCTGGGCCAACAGTTCACTTCAGATAGTTTTTTTCCTTCACTCTCTTATACGCAAAGTATGTTCAACCCTCTATTGCTTCCCCACAACTGGGAGTCCTATCCTCCTGCACTTCTCCCAGCAGCGTCTGCATTTCCCAGACCTCTGCCTTGCCAAGCCCAGCCTTGCCTGGCTCTCCAAGGGACAATCAGCACTTCCGGCCCAATTCAAACTCCTTCATTTCTACTTTGGCCTTTCCCTTCAACTTCCTTTATTTGGACATCTTGCACTGCATTTTTGTACCATTCTCTTACCAACCTCAGTTTGTGTTTGTCACTGCACAAGCCCTTATTCCTCCAGTTGCAGAATATTATTCCCTCCTCTCTAGAACCTCTGTGCCATCATTACCCTCTTCTGGTAGACCATTGCACAACTGCAAGTCGTGCATATATATTCCTGATTATCTACTATAAAGAAAAATTGTGTCAATCAGTTCTAAAAGTAGGTGTGATGAATTTCATTTAGCTGTCTAGATCAAGGGTTGGTTAAAAAGCCAGTATAATGACTGTACTGTGTGTGTTCTCCTGAAATGAGAGCAAAGGAACCATAAGCACTAACCACATCCTTAAAACACAAACCAAATCCTTAAAAAGTTATTTAACAGATAACAAACAGTTGTACATAGTAAAACCTCGAGCTCTGCAGAATGTGACAGAAGAAATCTGGATACGTCAGATAAGGACACAACTGAGAAGAGACAAAATGAACACTAACTGTTCCTCTGTCCAGATAAGGTGACATCAGGACAACTTTATGCTTATGGAGCAGTTCAAACCTTTCCTATTGACCCCGGAAAATCTGGCTCTTGCCCATTGGAATCTGGCCTGAAGATTTCATTTCACAGCTATCTATCTATTCTGTTTTTATTTATAGAACTTCCTTACATTTTGTTCCAAGTTACTTTTCACTTCCTTTTTCACTCCCCTAATTTCAGAAACTTAAATGACAGAAGTAAAGACTTGCAGTTCATAAACTTCTTTTTATATTACTGTTTTGCTAATATTTTCTTTTCTGTTTCAAGTGATTCTGAAAGTATCTGAAAGTACTGAAAATATCAAGATACTCATATTAGCAAATACTTTCTCTGTAAATTGGTATTCTTTTGGAAGGCAGGAAATTCTCTCTAAAATGCTACCCTAATGTAAAGAAAACAAAAGCAAGTAACCAAGAAAGTAGGTCTCCACATCTTGCTTATGCGGAAAGGCATTTTGTAAATGCTATTTTATTGCATGTAAGACCAAATACAAAAATCTATGTGGAAGTAGGACAAATTGGCAAATTGTCATCCCCCCCAGCTGACAAACTGTGGTCCCCCACTTCTGCTTACAGCAGCTTAACCCTGAAGATTCCTAGTCCTGGTAAAAAACTTGATTTTGCCACTAAATTCTAGGTCTCCAAGTACCTTGATGAGCACTTGTATCTTACCTCCACATCAATAGTGTCTTTAAACTAGGTACTAGGTCTGTATTGTCTGACAAGCATTCTTGGAGCTGTTCTATTAGCTAGGATGGCAGTGGCAACTACAGCTTTCCTGCAGAAATCTAGCTATAGGGAAGGAATTTGGAACCAAAAGCCTGAAAGTAATCATAAACTTTGTGAAGAAAATCCATCATACTAGGATGCACAAAAGAAAGTTTCTGGTGAATTCCCTTTTCACTGATAGGGATGAAATGCAGATCATAAGCAGAGTTTCTTAAAACAAGGTGGTGGTTTGGGTTGGGCTTTTTTAATAAGCTGTTATTTATAATAGAAAGATAAGCTGTTATTTATAATAGAAAGAGGCCTCTGGTGGTCTAGTGGTTAGGGTGCTGGACTCTCACCGCTGTGACTCGGGTTCGATTCCCAGCCCCCCGGGCAGATGGAGCTCGTCAGCCTTGTAAGGCAATCCATCTAAGAGAAGGTCACTCTAAACAAACCTACGTTCTGGGGACCTCACTGCCACTGTCCAAGTTTACTCGGCCCCGGCAGATGAACCTCAGGATTAAAGGGTGGGCTCAGTTCAGCGCACGCTGTGTCTCACCTAAAAAATCCACTGCGCAGGCTCGAAGGGTTAATGACCTTTCCCAAATCTTCGCTCGCGAAGACTGGCCATTATTATTATTATAATAGAAAGAAGTTATTATAATAAATAGGAAATAAATATTCACATGGCACATTCACGTTTTCACTCATAGAGTTCACTCACAAACAATCACTCAAGTTCCCTGGTTGGACCAATATTTAGAAACCAATCCCCGCTGTGCACTCACTTGCAGAGAGCTATATTGGCACTCCAGGAAATTCTCAAGACATGTCTGGAGAGTTCTTCAGGGGGTCTTATTCTTCATTACCAGATATCAGTCACTGCTGTCGTGGATGTCGTCTAAGTTACATAACCTTCTGCTGATGCTTGTGGGCACTAATAATCTTGTAGAGTCCAAGCAAACTCTTGGTTCAGTTCCCACAGATGCAACAGGACTGCTAAAGCTCATCAGTCCTTGGAAACTTTCACAAACTAACTTCTCATTAGGCAACTTTCCTGTCTCAGGCCTATTGTTTTCTGGCAGCCATTTATTTATCCAAACCTATACATCCTGTAGAAACAACTCAGACAATTCAGACAGAAGGGTCCTTTATGGAAAGTGTTACAAGGGTGGATTAAATCTTTCTAATGTGCTCACTGTTGTTAGGATGTCACCTGAAACACCTTATCTACTGGTGCACTGGTACTGTCAGAAGGAGCTATATACAACAGTGCAGGGTCTAGAAGAGAACAGCAGAAAGGATCAAGGATCTAGAAGATGTAGCCAATGAAATGAAAAGGGAAGAACTACTGTTGCTATCAGCAAATATTGAGAGGAGACAAGACAATAAGAATATATAAGAATCTGTCTCAGAAACTCGTAAAGCAGAATGGCATGTAAGTCCTAGATTCCAACATTTTCATTAGACATTTATTAGGGTAAACTTTCAAATGTTAGAGATAAAGAGGCAGTGAGACACACAGTTTCACAGGCTGGTAAAGACCATTTTAGAACACACTAGACTAGGAAAAATGGATGTTCATTTGTGTATGAAAATTTGAGTATTCCATCCCTCCTTACTGTTTTTACTGTTATGATAAGTTCTGTTTAAGAAGACACACACACTTTTACTTAGAATCAGCCTTTTAATTCCCATTTAGCAAACGAACATAGAATAAAAACTTATTTACAGGTATTTCATACACACACAAAATATTTTAACTTAAACAAAATTAAAATCTGTCAAAAGATTAAAATATCAAAAAGTATCAAATTAAATAAAGGCATACCCTAGACTAAGAATTTTGAGTCATATGGTTGTTTACATTTGCCATAAAATACACTGGGAAAGTTAAAAAAAACCCAAACTCTATGTAAGCCTATTTTTAGGGTTTATGAAGTCAGAGAATATACCAGCAGACAAGTATGACATGTAATGCCATCAGTTCCATCATGATGGAAGTCTGGAACGTTATTCAAAGATTTAAAACAGACTTGGACAGGGAAAATCTGATTAGAAATTAGAAAAGACTTTCTAATGGTAAGTTTCATTATGTTTTGTAAAAATGGCCTAAAAAGGAATGAAAACCTCACTGGTTTTGGAGATATCAAGAATATATTTTTATGTAGTTTTTCAGGTGTGAATTAAGTATAATTTCTCCTGTCTATTTCCATCCTTTTGCAACATCCTTTGAGATCCCTATTTGACTGTTTAAATGATAAAGCATTACTATTCACAATACATTCCAACCTCTTATAATAGTTGATCTTTCATTGTGTATATTACAGAATTATAGCAGAAGAAATACAATTTCCATTTGCCTGAGTCATATACAGAGGAGCAAATTATGTTAATTCAGATATTATGGGCAAGACAAAGGGTTTCTGTGGTACCTCATTAGCAAAAAGAAGACATGGATCCACAGTGCTGGAGCAGGCTGCCTGGCTGAGGCAGGGAGCTGGTCCTGCTTCAAACAGGGATCTGCCCCAGCTGACCTTGGAGGTTAGTCCAACCTGTGCAATTCTGCCAGTCTCCACTGGAGATTAAGGCATTTTTCAGGATATCTGGATATACTTTTTGGAGCATGCTAAGGTGCATATTCTCAAATTGTCTGTGATGAGCATGGTTCTTGTGCCTAAAGATAATGCTGGACCCATGCAGAGACTGGAGCTGCCTGAGCAGTTCACAGCTGCAGGTCTATGTGTAAGCTCAACAATCCTCCCAGGTACTACAGTTTGTGAGCAGATCTCTGGATCTGCCTTGCAAGATTGCTTGTTCCTGCTAGTACAGAAAGCAAGGAGCACCCTGTGCAAAATTAGCTAGAATTTCCATAGGAGAGAATTGCTTTGCCTTAAGAAGTCTCATATGCTAGTATTTTAATTCTTTTCAAAATCAGGCCCAAGATTATCCAACCTATTAAACTGTTGCCCGCTCATTTTCTTCAATATTGGTCACAAGACAATTTGATTCAAGAGTTCCAGGGTCACCACGGTATATGGCATTTTCAAAACTTGCTGTAAACATTTGTTGACCACGTCTTTTTTTATAGAAATAATACAATGTAAGGCCAGTTCCAGCTAGCAGAAGGAAGATCAGTATAAAAATTATCCCACCTAAACCATTTGTTGATGAAGCAGCAGCTTCTTTTTTTGATGCTGTGAAAGACAAAACAGAACAATTACTACAAATGCCCAGAGACTGCTATTGTATATAACAAATATCTCCCTAAGTAACCAAGTGAAAGTAAAAGTACTGAACAATCATAACAGCAGTTAAAATTAATGCATGTTACAGATGGGCAATGCAAAACTGAGCTTAATCTCTTTTATGTTCCCTTTAAAAGGAGCGTTATATTGCACTACATATACCATTTTTCATTTAAAAAAAGTAAGACATCTAGTTTGAGGGAAGAGCTCTCATTTTAAACAAATTTAAAATAAAATAATCTGTAACAGATGGTTATTTAAATGAAACATTTCTGGAGAAAATTTTACTTATAAGTAATAAATGCTTATGAACTTACTGAAATTTCTGTTTAGTGGGCTTGTAAGAAACCAACTTACCATTATTGAGAGGTGAATCATCAGTTGGCTCAGCTTCAGCAACTTTAAAATTAAAAAGTATATATATCATACAGTTTGAAAGCAACTGTTCAAAGATTAAATGAATACTACACATATAATTTCTGCTTTATGTTCCTATCAAATTTTAGATAATTATAGAATCATATAATGGTTTGCGTTGGAAGGGACCTTAAAGATCACCTGCTTCTAACCCCCTGCCATGACCAGGGACACCTTCCACTAGACCAGGTTGCTCAAAGCCCCATACAATCTAGTCTTGAACACTTCCAGGGATGGGGCATCCACAGCTTCTCTAGACAACCTGTTCCACTGTCTCACCACCCTTACAGTAAATAATTTTTTTCCTAATATCCAATCTAAACCTACTCAATTTCATTTTGAAGCCATTCCCCCTTGTCTTATCACTACATGCCCTTGGAAAAAGTCTCTCTCCAGCTCTCTCATGAGCCCCCTTTAGCTAGTGGAAAGCGCTATAAGGCCTCGCTGGAGCCTTCTCTTCTCCAAATTAAACAATTCCAACTCTACAAGGCTGTCCTCCTAAGGATGGTGCTCCAGCCCTCTGATCACCTTCATAGTTCTCCTCTGGACCCTGCTGAGTAGGTCCATGTCTTTCTTATGCTGCAGGCCTCAAAGCTGAACACAGTACATGGACATGAAAAATATATGAAAACATTTTCCCTGATAATTGAGGTTGAATCCATCAAATATACTTGTTACAAATACTTGTAAAAAAAAAAAAAACAAGACTAAGTGTTGTCTCACTAGTCTTTGCTTTGAACACTTCCATTGCTTGGGAAGTATGACTCAGTTAATTAGTTGCAGGACTGACTGGCTGTGCCCTACAAATTTCACAGGTGACTCCATTGCCAACCTGCCAATGTGGAGATCCACAAGTAGGAAACTCAATTGGTTCTACACTGCACTGATTATATTTGTGTGGTAAATCTCTTTGCCAATGGCAAATGTGGCCTATTTCATACTGTCTTCCAGTTGATGTGTGCAAACACAACTGAATCTGTGTGCACACAGTGACTCATGATAGCTGCATGTGTGTAGATTTACATGCTTCATGTTTTATGCAACACTACTGTGCACGCAAGCGGGACTCACCCCAACCTGAGACACGTTCAGATTTTACACTGGTTGACATCAAAAACACTACAGGGCCACAAGTAACCATTACCAATGAAACATAACATGCTGTTTGCTTGTCTTAGCACGTCTCCCTGTGCCTCTGTCAGCAGAGAAATTAATTGAGCCCCAGTGCCCACCCTCACTTGATGCTTTCTGCTTGCTCATCCAGCAGATTCCAGCACACTTCACCATGGTGATACTGTCCTCACCTGTCTCTACAGGAGCTCAGTGACTTCTCACTGCTGCCCCTTAGCTTAGCTATCAGGAGAGTGTCTGCCTTTCTTCTCAGCAGGCACTAGTCTAATCATTTAGTCACCATCTACCACTCCTTGCCTTCTAACCATAATGACTATGAATGTTTTGTGCACTCTCAACAGGTGATAGGTTCTTCACTTCCCCAGGGAACAGCGAATGTCAAGAAATCAATGCTTTTAAACTGAGAGGAGGAAACTGTGATTCAGGTTATTCTCTAACGTTATTTCTCACCATTTCTATCAGAATTTACTCTTGGCTTTGACTCAGATGCACATGCATCAGTGCATGAAGTGTACCCAGTGCATGAGCAGTTTGCCTTGATGTATAGTAACCACTACTTTTAAAACAACCCACCACACAGAAATACAGAACTTACTTTTAGGGATTTTGCAAATAAAATTCTGGTCAACAGAGCAGTAATAGGTCCTCCAGGTTCCGCTTGAGACATCCATATCAACACAGTGTTCATCAAAAACTGCCGTAGGCTCTCCTTTCTCCCAGTTGACATATTCTACCGCACTTCTGTCCAACCATATCCATTCTCCTAAAACGAAAAGTACTACCTAGTGAGTGAATTAAGTGGGGAATAAATAAGTCTGCTGGGCACGATGACATCAGGCACAGAATTTTTTAGTTGATTAAACTGGCATCAGAGAGGGCTTATTTCTCACTCTCTTAACAGCCAGAGCTTTTCAGGTGGGAATGTACCAAATATAAATGCTCAAAAAGTTAATTCCGTTAGCCTTCAGGGCCGCGGCTGTCAGAGATGTAAGGAAAACATGCTCAGGCTACCTGAGGACCTTTAGCTGAAGCCTGTGCCCAGAACTGTGCCTGGGAGCCACAAGGAAAGCAGAATACCCACGTAAGCCAGTCTCAGCAGTGCAAGCACACAGAAGGTCCAAGAGATTTTCTTTTTGTGTGTAACTAAGATCAACATTTTCTTAAAAGTCTGCAGTGGTTAAATGTCAAGTACTTTGAGTTAAAAAAGGAATAGGAAACATTTTAATCAACTAGTGCAGTGCAAAGCCAGAACCTTCTACTGACTGAAATATACTCTAATTTCAGAAAAGATACAGAAAGCATAGACCTCTTTATGATTTATGTTTTAGATATCTTAGCAGAAAAGCTATTAAACATTTATTAGTTGATTTTTATCTGATTATTTATTTAATATTTATCATATTGGCACTATTATATAGATGTTAGTGGTAATTAGTATTCATCCTTTTTGTTTAGTATTTATTTTCATCTCAATATGCATGGTGAAATAATTACCGTCAATATTTTTGAACAATCCTATCCAAAACTTTCTGACGTCGCTTGCAAGTGGAGACAAATAAAGTAAGAGAAAGTTCATTTCAGCTGAATCTTCTATGGAAACCAGAGAAGCACCTAAAAATATCAATTAAATATTACATATAATTTCAGCAAGATTTTTCGTTATGAAGTAATTATGTCAGTAAACAATCATGACATGTTTAGTGATCAGCATTTTCATACAGTAGAAATGCTTGATAATAAATTTAAATTAGGTGTAGCTTATAATTGATGTACTCATACACACATCTATGTATTATCACTTGGTGCTGGATTAAAAAGTCAAACACACAAACAATCTGTAAAATATCCTAAGAAAAAAGGGCACTTACCCATTTGAATACACATCATGGAAGCATCAGGCCAGCTTTCCTCAGAAGTGGTGTGAACATAGTAACAATGACCACGGAAGGGAATCCAAGATCTACCATGCTTTGGTTCAGGGCACTTCCCAGGAAGCTGTGGTGGCTCAGTAGGGATTAACTCTATTAAGAAGACCCACAGGTTTCAGTGGAATCTTAAAAGTCAAGGGAAATATGTACTCCTACACCACACACCAGCCCTATAATTTTACATTGATTCCAGGAAAAGGAATATTCTGTAGACTTAACAAATGATAAAAAATTCAACTGAACATGGCAAACTAGTAATAAACTATACTGGTTAGAGCTGGTTCTCCAATCTGCTAAAGAAAGCTTACACCAGTCTAAATGCAACTGTCTTCAGCAAGACAATTTTTTCTTCAAATTTGTGAAACAGAATGAGGAATGAGTCATAAACATAAAGAATCTCAACACCATCACCACAAGTCAGTGGCTTGTGTCTAGACAATTTGTAGAAATGACGGTCAGAGAAGCTGTCTGTACCTGTCCTTGTACATCATACATCCTAAACAATGTAAAAGCAGAATTTATAACCTGATTATAGAATTTATAACCTGCATCACCTGATTAAATCCAAAGCAGAGACTAAATGAATACAAAATTTGCTGTAAAGTATGATGCAAAGATCATAAATTTAATATATAATTTAAAACATATTTGAAAATTACATGCAATATTTGAGTGAAGTATTTGAGCAGCAGCAACAAACAAATTAATTGATTCAGCTGCTACACTGACAGAAGTTTCTCAACTCATATTATTTCAAAAGATACTTTTAAGTGTAAAAGTATATTATTATTATGTTTATAGTTAGGCTAAAGTTGATCAATTCTGTTCTTGACAAACAAGGATGCATAAAAAAACCATGGCATGTGGCATGAAATATTCCAATTGTCTTTATGATGTGCACGTGTTGACCAGCCTGTCAAATGAAATACCTGCAAATCTGAGAGTTCTTCCTTTAAAAAGTAATAGTTTTTCACAAGGCATACACTATCTATTACAATCTTTGCATATGTAGCAAAGTTAAATTCAAATAAAGCCATTAATTTAAATTCCAGCCTCCCAAATCACATTTCTGCTATTCAGAACTTACCATTGGATTGTTTACAGAGAGATGAAAATGTTTCATTGCAAGATGCTGTCTTCCAATACCCATCCAAATCTAAATAGACACAGGCTGTGTTCTTATTTGGTTCTCCACTGGCCCAGTTAAGATACCTGCTCCTCCTTCTATCTGACCATACGTATTGGTCACCATTCTAAAAGCAAATGTGAATAAAGATTATGTCACATATAAGAATTAGAAGGAAAGAATATTAAGATTATACTTGAATGTATGTATAAATTGGGAAAAATCATGGTTTCTTGCACAAAATTAATTCATCCTCTGTCATGAATACATAACAAACTGGTCCAGACTCCACTCTCCACAGCAGTTAGGGCAGCGGTCCTACAGATGTTTATTTAGCGTGCAAACCTACGTTATTCAATTCACACCGTCTGTCTCATGCACTGAATGGGCAAAGGGCCTCATGGTAACAAATGTGAATATATAGCTGAAGGTTTTATCAAATGAGTCCACATTTACACACAAATCAAATAAAGATTGCGGAGAAACTATTGTCAGCGCTCCTCTAACACAAGCTTCTCCATGTATTTAGGAAGCAAATAGAAAAAGCAGAAGTTTCACTGGACAGACAAAAACTGATGAGGCTTTCCATGGGACAGGCACCACAGAACCCTGCCACCCATGTTAACAGGGCCTGTAGTATGTTTCTGGGTCTTGCAAGGACCAGCTACTACAGACGAGACAAGCACTATTTTATCAGTGAATTTCACCACTATTTGCAGAGGATGACTGACATTAGTCACATCCATGGCTTCTGTCACTCCATCCTGTGCAACCTAGCTCCATCCTCCTGTGATCTTTGGAGGCAGGCTCCCATCCTGCCCTTTGTGCCATTTCCTTTCCTGTCTCCTTTCCTTTGAAACCCTTGGCTATCTGTCATTCCAGATTCCTCCCTAATCTTGGTTTCACAGTGACTGCTCTCACTGAGGTGTGGCTCTGGTTCCTCTCACCTCAACACCTGTGCCCTCTCTCAGTACTGTGTCTCACTGAGATCTTGCTCTACCTCTCTCTATTGATTTCCCCACAACAGAAATATCCAGCTACATCATATTTATCCATGTCCTTTTTTACATGCCTCTGTTAGCTGCTTCCCATTTCAGACCTTTCCACTCTTAGCTGAGTTTGTCAGCAGCTTTACACAACGCACTGACTTCGGCTCCAGAAGCCAGCCTAAGGTTTCCCCATTGCCAGAGCTCTGCTCCTCCCAGCTCTTTCCCCTACTGCCCAGCACAAGCTCTTGTATTGCTAGGCTGTGATTTTAAACAAAAACTTAAAATAAATTCACAAAGAAAGGACTATTTTAACCCAATTTTTTCTGTGGTATGCTCAACGATGTGCCTTCAGAAATGACAACACACCCCCATATGAGTATGTGGTAGACCATAGTGTAGGAAGTGGGAAGTCCACAGCTGTTTTACCACTGAAGCCACTGTCTGCTGCAGCTACATCCTTGGTGACCTTTAAGCGTGGGTTGTGGCAGTCCTCGCTTACACTATGGACAAACACTTAAACATGTAAATGCCCTGAAGTGAAGGGAAGTCAGTATCCCCCAAAAGGTTTTGACTTCTGCCACACATTTTTGGATCTGACCAATAACTCATCTAAGATAGTGGTATGACTGTCACTTGCATTTGGTAGACTCACTGTGTTGCTGTTAAGGCCAATCCACACAGGCTGCCCATGTTTCACTATTTGTAACCACACGTAAGATTCAGCATAAGGATCCAAGACACTGGCAAGTTCTGCGGACTGGTCCCTGCACTCCTTCTCTGCTTTTTCCCAGCTCATTTTTTCCTTGACGACTGCATAGCGGTCATCACCATAATTGTTAAAGCCAATCATCGGAACTGTGGGTTGGGAGCTGTGCACTTTGGGGTCTGTAACAAGCAAAAAAAAACCAAAAGAAAAGTCAAACTTTATATTGCCTCAGACATAGAACACTGAGAAAAAATCTAGTGTACTGGAGTAGTCAAGCAATTAAGAGAGACTGAAATAACAAATCAAGATATTTGTATTGCTGCAGTGATGAATGCCACCTTTTCATGTACTGTGACAAAATTTTCTAATACTTGTCAGAATGACTTTTTAGCATAAATATCTGTATCATCTCCAGGAACACACCTTGTAAGCACCAGACCTACCCAAAGCATATTGTACCAATGTAGGGCATTAATGGGAACAACTCCTTCACTTTTTCCATTATATAGTAGCACTGGTTGTATTTCTGATAAGGAACAGGGTATGATAAGTACACTGTGAGCAAGCAGAGGGATATAACTGCTGCTGCTGAAATTGCCTGAGAAAGAATGTAAGGGAAATTAAGCAGGGCAGTTTCACAAAATAAAGAGGTTGCAGTGCTTTGAAGTATAATAGTAGAATTCCAGATTTGAATAATTTACCCATATAAAGACAAAGCACTTGCTCATATGATTGCCAAAAGTAGTAAAATACATGATGATCCATAGATTTTTTTTAATTTACAGGTCTAGTTCCTAAAATAGGAAAGGTTAAGAGATTTTCTCAAAAAAAAGTGTGACCATTTTGTTAAAATGGTCCATAGTGCATGTGATACTGTCATTCATTTCAGTTAAGCCAGGGTGGAATTACAGGAAAGTCACTTTTAACATGAGTTTGAAATAACCACAATAAATCAGCTGTGCTAGAAAGCGGTGAAAGGAAACTCACCCGAATTTTTCTGGCATATGTAACTTTTGCTTGTTTTACATCCTTCATCCTTCCATTTCCCTGCCTGTTCAATAGGGTTCTTCATCAAAAAGACACAATCATCCTACAAGACAAATGAGATTAACCACAAAACCATGTGGACAGGTAGGAAAGATTCAGGACTCACAGACTCACCTATCATACGCAGGTGCATAGAGATGAATAATATGAAAGTCAGATATATGTACATATGGACTCATACAAAAAATGGTCAGGCACAGTAATATGACAATAAGCATTTGCAACTCTGTCCTAGAAAATTTTGCACTTGGATGACAAAGGGAGTTGCAAAGCACAGCACAGGGGCAGGAAGAAGTGTCTGGAACTGTCTGTGCTTACATACCCTCTGTTCATGACTGTGAATGTGTGTGCATGTGTGCAGGTGTGGACCACAGATTTGCTGTTGTGTTCCTGGAGGTTACGGGGAATCTCTCCTCAGCACTGAAGCTTGCCTAGAGAGCTGAATTTCTCTTCTTGCCCCAGTTCAGCACTGGGAACCAAAGTGGTCACAGCAGTGCTGCAGAGGTGGTTTGTCAGAAACAACATTTTGTACGGGACACCTCCTGAAACCCTTTCCACTGTACTGTGGACGTTCCTCATTTTCCACTCAGAGCATGGGAAGCCACTGCTTGGCTTTCTGCAGCAGGAGACAGCAGCTTTTCCCACCTCACATCAGTATAGCCTCATGCTATCTCCAAACCCCCTCAGGTCACACTAGCCCAGGTCTTGTCTGCAAGTGAAAGAAGTTGTATGTGGAACAACTTCTGGAGGGGAATGGTCACAGCCTTCTGCAGAAATTCAGCAATGCAGCCTTCTGCAGCCTTCTGTATGTGTGAGATGGGGAAGTCCTGAAGATCCTAAAACCCAGCTTGAACCTGATGGCAGTAGTTATCTGAGTATTTTCATCAAATCTAAATAACATTCACTGCATCCCAAAATTATATAGTTTATGATATTATTTATTTGAATCTCTTCATGAGTCACAGTAAAGTGAGGGAAATGGCTTACTTGTCTGTGTTTTGCATAAGACTTCCAAACATTTGTCTGGACTCATACAGAACCATGACAAAACACAGAAGTTGAAAAAAAAGTATGTAGATAGATATCTCACATAGTCACTCTGCTTTTAAAAAGCAACAAGATTGCTAAAAGTCTTCATAAAGGGAAAAGAAAACCAACAGAAAATACCATTGTACATTTTAGCCATCTACCAAAGTTATAATGTGTAAGTGATAAAATTGATGTTTACCATACTAAAATAACTTCGTGAACCTTTTGCCCAATTTGTATAGTCTACCGGGCTTCCCTCTGTCCACAAGTACATGTGCTCCTGATTTATGTCATTCAGTCCAATCCAAGCATCAGTAGCAGCTTCTTTTAAGAGGGACATAAGGAAAGCTGAAGGAAAAAAAAAAGAAATATTATGTAAGAGAGGGAACTGAACCTTCCCCAACACTGGAGACTTTAGAATGCCTGGAATCAGGATGATGAGTTTTCATTTGCTCTTTATAATAAGGCAGCAGTCTTATGATAAAAATAAAATTAATAGATGATCACTCATCTGATATTAAAATCAGAAAAGGTCTTTACAAACTCAATGATATGCAAATTTTTAATAAAGTGGCAATTTATGTGTACACTCTTCCATGTTGTTCATCATCTGAGGAAAACGTTTTAATGTATTACAGAAATTAACATGAGTACATAAACTTTGGCACAGAGAAAATGAGTCTACAACGTCTGCATTCCCTTTTCTTCTTTGGCAACTTCTTTGTTAACCTGGCTTAATAATTTCATTTCTAAATAGGCATAACACAAATAAAACTACTTGATAACCATGTATGTATGAACTGTGATCTCAGCTTTGTAGAATACCAGATGCTGTTTCTCTTAGCTCCTGCTTAAGCTGACTTTCCACTAAAATAATGTCCTTCCTTTGCTACAGAAAAAAAAGTATAAACCACTATCACTGATGGAGGGAGCTGGGAGATGATTTGTGTGTGGCCCTCATGACCTGAGGCAGGGCAAATCCTGAAGTAACATGAGGCCTCATAAAAAGCCTGCAAGATGATGAACAACAAGACCAGCAGAGCAAGAGGATCAGGGGGAAGCTAGGACTCTGGCACTGGAATCTTCTGCTGCCTGAGGATGTGTCCACCACTGACATCCACAGTATTTAGCTCAGCAGCTGGGTGCACAGTGATTTGGTTTTGGATATTACTCCCTTTGTGTGCTTTTTTACATAGAATCATAGAATGGCCTGGGTTGGAAGGGATCTCAAAGATTATCTGCTTCCTTAAAACGAATGAAAATGTGGACATTTTATTATACTACTAGCCTCTAATATAATATTTTAATATTTTAATATTTGAACAGTACCTCCCATATTTACCCCTCTGATTTTCAAAGTTAATCAAGACACTAAAACCTATGCAAGAATTTTTTTCCAAAGACTCAATTAATTTCTCATTCAATATATTAATATGGAATAAATAATATCATATATTGCAGAAGCTATAACATCTGTTTTACTCTTTTTGTCAGGAATTACATGGTGTCTCATCCAGTATCAAAACATTGGTACTTTATACCTTGCTCTTCTTTTTTTGATATAGTAGCCAGGTTTCCTCCAAAATCAATGCAATTGTTCCGTGCAGCGTGCCAGGTCAATGTATCATTTTCATCAAGACCAAAGACTTTAAAACACTGAAAAAGAGAAGTGTGCCAGTTCTGTAACTGGATGGTGTTTTAATTTCTGGTGAAAGTACCTCTGTTTGTAACAAACAAGATAAGCCGAATATTTTAAGTAAAAAGGGAGTTTAGCTGATTTAAGAGTACTTTCTATCTTGTCTTTAGGTTTTAGTGACAGAGAAGATCTGTACTAGAAAATTAGCATAAAGCCCAATATTTTAGCATACTCTTAGAAGAAAGAATATGTCAGTCTATTGATCTCAGCAAAAATTGCATTAAGCTTCTGAGCATAGTTCTGAGGTGTAAATTTTTGAGACATGCTGAAGAAGACAAGGATAAAATATGTTATTGAATCAAAATATCTCAGCTCTTGTTGCCCTGTTTGTCCAATTAAGTTTGGTTCTCCCACAATAGTTACAGAAAGATAATGATTTTGATATTATTAAGAAAACTATGAATTTACCATTTCTTGTAATATGATCTTATGAGATTTAACTCAGACATAATCAGACAGCTTTGTAAAAGTCAAGCAACGTAAATGTGCTAACTAAAGCATGTAACTGAAAAGTTAAGCAGCAAATTTGGGGAAAAGCTGAGCAAAAAAGGAAGGTAGAGTCATGATGGCCAGAAGCAGTGTATAAACACTTTGGGAGGAGTCAAGGGGGGAGCCTTTGGAAGCTCCTCTTCCAGGATGTGAGGAAGAGAGAGACATTTTAGCTTGAGAGAGAACCTTGAAATTGAATATGCAGAGTTTGTGACTTTTCCCCAGGACTGAGGGAGGAAAGGAAAAAGGAGACAACAGCCAGCGGATCTCAAACAAAGGATCTCTATCAAACTGAAATATTTTAGCTCAGCCAAAGGAAAGACAGACAGAACTAGACAAAGTAATGCAATTCAGAATTATCTTCATTGTTAGGTGTATTCTAGTACTAGTATTGTAGTGTACACCATTGTTTTATACCTTTTACAGCTTCACTGATAAAAATCTATGGATGTTTAATATGTACAGTCTCTTATCCTGAAGTTTTGTCTTTTGAGATGGCTAAGAGTGATTGTACATAATAAAGTGCAGTGAATCTTATAACTGCATTACTTAAAAAGCTTAACAGGTGTTTGGTTATAGAAAAAAAAAAAAGATAAATTTGCTCAAGGGAAGATGTCGTAGTGGAGAGCCAGTGCATAGTAGGCAAGGGACAAGTAGGTGTCCAGGCAATATATGAGAGCCAGATAGCCTCAGCAAAGCAAACAAGAACATACAACAGCTCCATACAGGGAAGGTTGTTCAGCCATCTTTGGCAACACAAAACACTAGCAAAAATGTAAGATGAAGCTTTCTTCTTGTGTGTCTCATGACCTCCCTAATAACTGCTGTGATCTCAATAGAGGTTGTAATCTGTGGTTTAGGATTTGCATTTTAAAGTCTCTAAATACACACGAACAGAAGATTCTTTGTGACAACTGAAAACCCTGCTACAATTGAAAAACTGATTGTTTTTTATTCTGCTTCTTTTAAAATACAATATACTGACATTTCATACTGCACCTTGTTATCAAAGAGAAGCCAGTCTTCTGGACACCCACCCTTTGGTGGTGGTGAAGTGGGAGCAACAGCTGGACGAACAGTGTCATTAAGCCTTTCACAGATGAATAATTCAACACTGCCACAGTTGAGATCATTCCATGTACCTGAAAGCAAATTAGAATTTAAAAAAAAAAGACAAAATGCAACTGAGACTGAGATAAAAAGTGTGCAACTGGGACTGAGATAAAAAGTGTCCTTTCCTAGAGAAAATCTATTATGGGAAGTAGAACTGATTACAGTATTTGTATTTCTCTCCCCCAGAGATAATAATATATAGTTCTTATGTCTCTTTCTTAGAAATGCTCAGGTTTCCAGCAAAATTTAGAATATGAATCATTTGTCTAAACCCAGAGATATTTCAATATTGCAAAACCATAGCATTGTCAAAGGAGAGTTTTAGTTTAAATGCTTAATTCTCTAAGATCTGTAAGATCTCTATCATCAGCCTGCCGCTACAAGGCACTCAGTCCTTGTTACCTTACTACCCAAGCTTCTCACAGTCCTGTAGTTGTCTGAGTATCTTTTGAGGAAAAACAATACTGAGTCTGCAAATGGTCTGATGCTTAACTGATTTGTTAACATTGAAATTTTCTGACAAAATTAGGAATCAAATCACAGATGTAATCCAATATGTTAGCTACATAGAATTCAATTTTTAAAAAGTGCATAAATGAAAGAAGAGAATACAATTTATTTTCCTTTGCTTTTTGAATACTCTAGGCAAAATCAGCATGCTCAGTATTATAACTCACCCAGCCTTGTCTGTGCAGCCCTCCCAAGCCTATGTCACACCCCGCAGATTGAATGTTGCTACAGTATACTCACCTGTGTGGGTATACATGACCACACAGTTTTCATCATTATTTGCAAAATTGGGTTCATTTGGAGACCAGGCAACATAGTTCACTGGGGTTCCATCCATCCACCTGAAAGAAGTAATTTGAGGAAATAGTAATTCTTAGTTGAATTAGTTAATATTTCTTTGCAAAGGAAGTATTTGAGCTTTGTATTTTAAGTTTCCTGTATCCTAGCTTACAGACACATGTTGTTCTCTGCTAAAATAAAACCAAGACCTTTCACTGGAATTATTAAAAAATATCTTTATATCAACTGCCTGCCTGTCTAAGTCTAACTAATCATCTTAACTGGTGGTTCCAGCCTTTCTTTGTCTCTGAACACTGATAGTGTGCAGGAAATGCACCAGTCTAGCACTGGACTTGGCTTTATCTGGAGCACAGAAACAGATATCTGAGCCTATTTTAGCAATTTCCTGGATATAAAAGCAATAATATAAGATCTTGTAGGGTAACAAAGAGTCTTGAACCAGGTACTGAGAACCACTAAAAACCATTTTGTTAAGCAAAAGAAATCTTTAATATTATAAACCTATTCGTTACTTGGGGTGGTTTTTTTCAGTTATGCAACAATAATTTCCTAGTTTGGTGATTCACAAATTTATTCTTAAAAAGTAGCCAAGGACATGGCTGTAGACAGGTTGTGTCAGTCATTGAATTTCAATAGTCTCCTAAAGCCAACCATGCCAAATACTCACATAATGAGTCTAACAAAATTAATTTGTTTTTACTTACCGGAATGTTTTGTCAAGGCTCACACTTAAGCCAATATAGAAGCTATTTCCCCAGTCTTTATAGAAAATCTAAAACAAAACAAAAAAACCCACAATTTGAATGATCTATAATATAAGAGATTTCAAATAAAACAAGCAAACTCTCAAAAAATGCTGTAGTTTCATTTGTACAATTGCATAGTATACAACGCGCAGGAAATTACTGAAATTATGTGCCTGAACTGCAAAATGCAAAATTTTAAATTTTCCTCCAATTTCAAGTATATAATTTTTTTCTAAAAAGCAGAATGGGCTGAAAAAGAAATTGAGCAGAAAGCTATGTTAAGAAGGTAAGAACAATCTCTTAAGCAGGCTAATAACAATATTTTTTTAAGAGTTTTAGGGAGGCATAGTGAGAATTTGCTGAAAGGCTACAAGTAAATGGTGAGTTTTAGTCCTTAGTCATGGAGGAGGAATGAATGGAATCAAATTTGGGTTTAACACTATAAAACTATTATCAAAACAGTAAATCATCATCAGGTCATTCTCTCACCATTAGAAAATATTGTATCTTAAACCTTTTACTTAAAATATGAGATCTGTTTTGACAAAAATCTTTTATTGAATTCTGTGAAAAGAATGAGTTAGAAAGTAAAACATAATCATTAATTGCAACTTTCAGCTAAACAGAGCAAGGTCTTTGAAAGCTGCACCCTGAGAGTATTCTTCAAAGGAAGTTGGAAATTTTTCTACATTTAGCAATTTATCAAAATAATGATTACGGTAAAGCATCTAACTAGATAAGCCCATGAAAAGATAAAAGGTGGCACTGATTTCTTTTATGGTGGGGACCATTTTTTAATATTTCACAAGCCAGTTGAAAAAAGGTGCATCACTTCAAGACAAAATTGTGCATATTTGAAGCAAATATGTTTCTTACATATTTCCAAAGAAAAGTTTTTTCACTTTCACTCTCAATGACAGCAAGGTCACCACCATTCTTCTTGCAAAAGTCTCTGGCTTTTTGCATAGGCATTGCTTCTTTGCTGAAATAGTATTCCTTGTGATTATATTTTACCCAGTCATCTTCACCAGCAACATATTCATAATCTGCAAATTAAAACATTAAGCAGTCTATAGTAGAAATTATCATCATTATATGTTAATTTATTTTTTTATTGGAAATACAAGACTTACCGAATGTAGAATTAGGTTCTGGTTTCAGTGGCGCTCCTGCAATATAAATCAATATCTGTATATATTATGTTTCTCGGACATCTCTCAATTAAATACACTCATACAGTAATTATCATTTTAACTCCTAGTAATAGTCATAAGGGTTATTCAGTATGCTTATTTTTGTTACAGAATTCCTCAGAGTATCTGAAAAAAAGTGCTGCACTCAGCAAAATAGCATGATAGTGCTGATCACAAATTAAGCTACAGAAACTATGTCCAACTTTAGGCTGTTGCATTACACTTCCCCAACATGCTGTACGTACGTCCAAAGCTTACCTATGTATCTCACGGATTAATTAGTAGTTTTCAACAGCTTTTACTTAAATGTATAAAATATTTCATTGTGATTGATGGCTCAGTTGCCTCTAATACATACAGATCGTGTGATCTGACCTGTAAAGGATGTTATAATCTACTCTAAAAGTTGCTAAAGGAAAAAAGTTATCTTACCTTTTTTAATTTGGCAAATATAGTCCAGCATGTGTTCACAAAATAAATCATTCCAGTTCATATTGAGATAGCCAGTAAACACGCCACATTTTTCATTCCCATCATAATTGTTTGGTTCTCCATGTGACCATTTTTCAAAATTTACCTGGAGTGGAAATATAGCTTTGTTACTATTTTGCTTTTAAAATGAAACAATTGTCTTTTATAATCCTATTAAAGAAGAATGTACTTCCATTTGATTTCATGGTCCATCTTATTCTTTAACACCAGACCTTTTAAGAAGTTCATGACCTCTGAATAGCATAATGATTCATCTGTGTGTTTATAAGCCATGTTAGTAAGCCAAGAAGTTCTTGCCCTGTTTTTTATCAGGAAAGACAATGTTCCCCTATCGAGCTCTAGAAAGATGTTCTCTGATCCCTGGGTTGTTTATCCTGCTCAGATGTTTCAGCCCAAGACAATCCATCAGTGCTGCCATACGGACTTGGACCTTGCAGATCTTGATTTACTTAAGGCAACAAAAGCAACAAAACCTAGTTTGTATAGATGTAAAAAATTATTTCTTATGGCAAATGATAAATGGGAATATAGAGATTAGCACAATCAGATTTGCTTAGATTGGATGCAATATTCCGTCACTTTTGGTGTTATTCATTACTTGAAATGCCATATTGTCATCTATAGCTATGAACTACTAAAAGATTAAAACTAATTTCTAGACAAGAATCAGGTTGTAAAGACTTAAGGTCACTTGCAGTTTGTATAGGAGGAGTTCTGAGAGCTGCCTGCCAAGATATACATGAAAAAAATAGTAAAAAACTCTGGAATAATAAATTATTTACTCACTGGTGAGCCATCACTCCATGTAAATCCACTGTCAGTGTCCAAGGCACTTAAACCCATCCAGTAAGAATAATGAATATAATCTCTCTCTCTGAATGATTACAATCACAGACAATCAGACACAGCATGAAAAAGAGAAGGAGAATGTATAGCATTACATTTTCAGTGTTTTAATACTTGAAATATCATTTGAGACAGTCATATAAAGTAATTGTTCAATTGTCATGTGGAGAAAAACACCCTGGCACTGCATGTGGCAGGAAGCAGTGAAACAGAACTTCATGGAAAAGATAATAAATGTCATGAGTTTACAAATATTGAGTTAAATGAAAATATATTTAAGGTCCTGGTTCCACCAAGTAGCTTAGGCATCCAAATTCAGATACCTCTGCACTCATAGGCTTGATTTAAACATTTATATAAGCACATCAATAGGTCAGGCTTTTCTTAATCTCCCAGTTTTTCCCCCTAATTAAGGTAGGAAACCAGCATGAAATATTCCTTTAATCATGAGTATTTTACCTACTGATCAACTACAAATTAAGTAAATTCAGTTGAAACCAACTTTGATGATACTTCTCTCAGTTTGTTTATGTTCAGGCTGATTCAATGCATGACACCACCTTCCCAGAGACCTGTCAAGAAAACCTTTTCTCACTTCTTTTTACTTATTTCCTTCTGTCACTTTGAAGGGATATACACCATCATTGTAAAGTAGAAATTGATCACCAGGAATCGTTTATGTCTTTCAGAAAGGTAATTTGTAATTTTTTTTCTTATATTTGAATAATGGACTGTGCAGATACTCACAATCTTGTTATCAGGTTTTGTTCTTCTTCACTGTGAATACATGCCAGATCTCCTCCAATGGTTCTGCAAAAATCTTTTGCATCAAACCATGTTTTCATTTTCTCCCTTCCTCCCTGAAAAATCTATAAAAAGTGGTCAACTAAATACTTTGCAGAGTATTACAGATATCTAGAAACAGAAATTAGGGCTTCTGTCTTTGTTCTAGTCTTCTGGTCTAGTTTTATTCCTTAATATTTAATTGTGCAACCATAAGCCTGGAATCATCTATCAAATTTGATTATTGTAACTTTGCTTTTCTTATCACCTCAGAGCCCCTGTGGCTGCAAACTTTAGATCAACACACATACAGCTTTGTCCAGCACTTCCCAGCCACACCACCTGCAGATGACTGGAGACATGTTACCACAGACTGCCTATCAGGTAGGCAGGGTAAAATCAACCTTCCATGGATACACAGAATATATTCTTATTTTAATTGACAAGTGTTTACATTCAGAAATTAAACACCTACTTTGAAGCAGAAGCTGCTCTGAGGAATGGATTGCCATCCCTCTGGGCACAGCAGAAGATGGGATATCGTTGGAGGAGGAGGAGGGGGAGTCACTCCCTCCACCAGCTGCTTGCAGAGAAACATATTTGTTTCTTCACAGTTCACAATATCCCACAATCCAGCTGAAGTTCCTGTTGTCATGGCCACGCAGCCTGACTCCCCTCCTTCATGAAACATAAAATTGTTAAATTTTATTGATGACTGCACCTTTTCAAAGTATATGCTGCTTACTTATGAGTAACCTGTTCCCACTCTAAAATATCAATAGCTCACAATAGCTCATGTGCATTTCTATTCAATCATAAAAAGAAATTCTAGCAAATTCCTTTGACATTATACTAGGAATCACTTAACAAAACTACCAAACTGCAAAGAGCAAAGGATACCAAAAGACATATGCAGTCCCAGGGGACCTTCTGGAAGGGGTTACCACAACCCCTGATTTAATCCCCTTAGCAAAAATTGAAAGCTTCATTGTCCTTTCTGCTGCTTTATGTCAGAAGAGTTTTTCTAAACAATTTTTTTAGCTTTTAAATCCCCACTTTTTGGTTCCTCAGAGCAGAAACTCAGTGGCCCCCATGGCACATACCAGGCATTCCCACGTTCCAGTGAGTGAAGGTGACTGGATCCCCACTGGCCCAACTGAATGTCCCCTGCTCCTCAACGTCTGAAAGACCAATCCAGAAGTATTTTGCTGGATTGAATCCAGTTATGGAGGTCAAAAAAGCTTGTTCATATCTGTGAAGAGTAAGCATCAAAATGATGTATCACATTTTATCATAACTTGTACATTTCTTCAAACAGTTCATTGTAGCAAATCTGGTAAAGTTAAGGTGATTTTTCAGTATGTATGAAATGAAACAAGGGTAATCATCTTACTTTCATAGTTCTAATTATCATAAAAAGTAATTTTTATTTTACTTTTTGTTACTGTGACTCATGTCTGGAATTTAGAGTGATTCTATTCCCCTTTTGTACTGCACAATGAACAAGGCAAACCCCACAATATTGTGTTAATGCATATATGTTACTCATTCTGTATAACTATAAAAGCTACTATGCTTTTATTCTAAAAAGGGTAAGGTTCCAAATCTGCCTGTTGAAAAAACAAACAAACAACCATAAAAAGGCTAAAACACTAGAATCTAGAAGAAGTAGTTCCATGCTTATCTGTTTATTTTTAGTTCAAGAAGTTTTAAAACAATCTGTCAGTCTGGGGTCGTTGGGGAGGTGATCCAGTTTTTTTAATTCCTAAAGGCAACAACAGTGTGTGTAGTAGCACTGGCCTGAATGTTCTGATGCCCTACAAGCCCCGGATCTATAGTGCAATACTTCATCAGTTCTACCATAAATTTTCCTGCAAATAAGAGTGGTGTCACACTAGACAGACAGTATGAATAACTGCTGAGTAAGAAGAAATTTCTCTTCCCTTCCATCCTGGTTACACGCATTAAAGGACAAGAATTATATTTCCATACCTGTCTCTCACAGTAGCCAAGTAACCTTTGTTTTCTTCACAGATTTTTTTTGCATCTGAAAATGTTGCTGGTAGCTGCCCCACGGAGTAACAGTAAAAGCCGTGCTTCATCCAGCCCTGTCATTGTCAACAGCACAGATGTACAGAGGGGCTGTCAGATTGCACAGCTTTGTGCACTTCCAAAAGCCACACCCAAACTCCAGTTATCACATCCAAAGTCAAAATTGCTCTCAGGAACCATGTGAAGAAACCAAGAGGATAATCAAACACAGTTTTTGTAGCCATAACTCTTGAAAAAGAACACACAAAGGGACTTTGCAAACAGTGAGCCGTGGTTGTGCCTTTGGGCTGGCAACCAAAGTCACAGCCACTTTGCAGCTCCCCGTGTAAAGCTTGCTCTGGCTTCTCATTGCATAAGGATAGCTGTTGCAAGAGGTTCCAAGCAATCTGCAAAACAGTGGACTCATATATTCCTGATTCCTGTGGCAGATTGACTTAACTGAGAAGGCTGTGTGCAACCCATGACCAGTGAGTTACAGCCTGAAAAAGTGCTGACATGTTTTGCAGAGAGTTGCTTTTATGGGGGCAGTTGCCAGTTCTGCAGTAGGAGAGAGATGAGTCAACTACGCTTGCAAAGAAATAAAAAGGTCTATCTACATTTCAGTTAAATAAAGAAATACATTCCCTTTTAGTCTAAGAAGTATCAATATATATGAAATTAACAGTTTTCAAGTCTCCACCAAGAACAGTCAAAATAATTTACTTCTATGTTAATTATCATCATAGCGGTGAAAGTCATATGCAGCACCTTCTGTTGCTTTTGTTTTACACTCACTTTCTGGCAGCCTGGGTAAGTAACCTCGACTTCCCCTGATTCTTCAGCCAAGGGTTTCCTTTTACAGATGTAGCCAAATTTCATTTCACAGGCACTGTCAGCCCAGGATCCATCCTGAGTATGGTAAAAATAAACAACAGAGAGAAGTGAAAGCTAAAGAAAATTCAGATCCAACAAGAATATTCATCATTCTCAGAAAGAACCCTTCTCTTTTCATGTGTGTGAGACTGTTTCAGGTCTCTTCCTTGCCTTAGTTTTTCTCCAAAATTCCCAAATAAAGACAGTGAGGGTCACATTTCCTCAGAGGTGTGAAAATGAGGGTTGGATGTATTGAAGATTCAATGGCTGATGAGAGCAGGAAGGAAACATGCTGTTCCACTCTCTTCTCACCAGCCCAGTGCCTATTATGTTCATATAATCAGATGACAATAGCAAGGAAATGCTGGATAAACTAAACATAAAATATAAAAAAAGTCTTTTTCCACTGCATTATATGTCTTTTTATGCTGAGTATAAAACAAGAGAGATTTTTTTTAACTGATTTTGTGCCTCTACAAATATGAGCCTACAAAGTAGCTCTAAAAGCATATATTTTAGTGCTTTTAGAGGAAAAATGAAAAATTCCCTGCTTCAAGACTCTATGCTGCTATGATCAGTTATGTTAAATGTGGATGATGAGTTATTTCAACCAATTTCAGATGGAAACTGTTGTAGAGAAGACCAAGTCTCCATGCAGTGAACTGCTTCTGGTGCTCCATCATACACCCTCCTGGATCTGGTCTCCAGTCTCCCTCCACACTAAGGTATCTTGAATTAAACCAAGTTCATAAATACTTTTAAAAGCATAACCCTTTTTTTTTTCTTTTTAATCATGGATGTTTTCCTTTGTTGGGGCTCAAAGGACAGAAGAAAGCATAAGAGTGGGGGACGGATTTTTACCTCTCCCTTCATACAGATGCAGTCTGCCTTATTCCATGTGTGAGTTGGCTCTCCGTGATGCCATTTGGTATAAGTCACAGGTGTGCCATCACTCCATTCAAAATACATCTGAACTCTGAAGTCATTTAGACCAATCCACAGTTCATCATCTGACTCTGGGAACACAAAGTTAATTGTAGGTATGGGGATGTCTTAGAACAATCACAACTCACATCCCTTTTTGACTGAAGAACTTTTTTATTAAAAAAAAATTAAGATCCCGGTTATAATGATTAAATGAATAATAGCAAACAAGATAATTTCAGATTAAGAAAAAAGTGACCTGCAGGAATACTCACTGTACCCAAGCTGGGACACTGTAAAACTGTACTCTTCAATATTATGAATACTCGCCAGATCTCCTTCTTCTTTTCTACAGGAAGATTGAGCTTCTTTCCATATTTTTGGTCTTCTATAAATTCTGTAGCAATGACCTGCATAGGGCACCCATTCCCTAGGGCACTTAAAAGGCTTTAAGTCACCTAAAAAAATTGACGTCAAACAATTAATGAGCAGTCCTGTTCAGTGCTTTATTTTCATCAAAAAGAAAATGACCTGTACTGACATGAATTTGAAATACTGAAGCACATACTGGCAGAGGAGAGAAGCCAAAGTCTGAGAGTTACAAAGATTACAAAACAAATTTTTCTCTCCCAGTTGTGCTGGAAGCTACCAAAAAAACCTTTTTTACAGGATTAAATAAGTACTGAGTAATTTGGCATGCAAATTTGCAGGGCACAAATCCATGTTAAATCACCCTCAGTGAGGCTCCGGGCACAGCCATGTTTTACACAAAATGGCCTCTTTTCCTACTCAGGAACTCGATCTTGTTGAATTTGTAGATTTTGTATATTTTTTTCTCTGGAAACAGCAGAGAGTCAGGAGCTCCTGCACAGCCCAAATCATATATAAGCTAGTCCAGACACATTTATGCCATACCAGACATGTCAGAAATCCCAGCTGCACAGAAATGCTGTACACTTTGTTCAGCACTTCTTTCTTGGAGTGAATTTAGTATGGGCAGCCACCTTCCACTGCTTGGAAAGTTCACATGATCTGCACCTACACAGTAAACTGAAGAGGGGAGGATATGTGCCCAACACTGATGTGTGATCAACCACTTGGTCCGATGCTCCCTGAACATGGTTTTCAGCTGGGCAAACTTGTATTCCCCTAAACAACATTCAGGCTTGGTTTGGAGGTTAACATGGATCAGAAATCATTCCAAGTGTGGTCAGAATGTGCGGGATATATATGGGCCATGTATCCCCCTGATTTTTTCCTGAATAGAACAAAAAGCATCAGAGACAGAAGGGGAGCATGAACTCTAGCAGAACATATCTTAGAAGTATTTTTTAGAGCACAGGATATTCATCAGTATTTCATGGTCTGGATAACATGACTAAACACCTAATCCTGCCTTCTTTAGTACTCTGGAATCTTTTCAAAATGATGAGCAACATTTGGGCATCATCTTTAAAATGAGTCAGAAAGTTAGTTTCCTCAGTATTTGACCCAGGTCATCAAGTGTGATCCTTTTGTTTTAGCAATATGTTGTCATTTCACGTACAGCATCCTCCCAATGTTTCTTGCTGACCGCAAAAATAGCCTTGGTTTTTGACCAACATACCTGGGGCAAGAGTGGAAGGATCCAAGGAGTTGTTTCTCTTTTGGCAGACATATCCCAGTTTCCGATCACACACCTGGTTTTCCCATTTGCCATTCCTACCTTGGAAGGTCCCGCATATTTTTCCAGATTCCACAGAGGGGTTTCCTTTAAAAAAGAGGCACAGAATCCTTCTGTTAACACTGAAAATTTTCACCTCTTAACAGGAAGGAATGTAAAAGACTTTTGCAGCTGCAAAGCCACTGGAGTATTAATCTTTAGAGTAATAATTTCCAAGAGAGATGACAAGGGAGCATCACTGGGATGGCCAAGAGGGTTGACACTTCAAACGTGAGATTTGCCCCTCTTTCCTTATGCACTGCTGAAGAAGAATTCAGTGTATTTGAAGAACAGCAGCATATAGAAAAAAAAGTTTTATAAAAGTTCATCTGAGACAGGATTCCTTATGGAATTATAGTATTGCAAGCAACTCAAGATCCTTTACTGTTGAATACTGGACTTGAAATGTGTATTTAATTCCACAAGAGTGCTCGCCCTTTGGATTTCCTTGTAGTCAGAAGTGCTATTATGAAAACACGTAACATGACAACATGCAGCATGGTGACCTAGGTCCTAAGAAAAGAGTGGAAACTTACTAAGATAAAGTACATCAAATAAATGTCATAAACATCAACTGAGAAGAATAGAAAATATTTTATGCTGTTTCTCTTTATTTATTTTCTCTCTTATTTACATTCTGTTTATGTCATTTGTCATGAGGTGTTTTTATTTGAATTGAATAATATGCCTGAAGAGAAAATTGTAGATGGAAAAAATAGAATGAGGTATAGATATTTATTTTCAACTGTTGTCTTGGATAAGCTATATGCTTTTTCTGGGAAATTCAGAATTAATAACAATCTATCTCTGGTATGACCCCTATTACTGTTATATCCTACCTTTGCCATAATTCCCTGTAACCTGTGAAAATTCTATGAAACCAAAGAAATTAGCTAACAAGAATTTGGTGAAGGGGAGGAGAGGAGAGGGGAGGCGAGCAGAGGGGAGGGGAGGAAAAGGAAGAGGAAGGAGAGAGGAGGGGAAGGAAAGAGAAATTTTTGGTCCGGATGCTGTTCATCATTTAATAACAGTGCAATTACCTGGAGCCCAGTTCAGGTATCTGAAAGGACTGCCATCAGTCCACTGCCAGCCACTCTCAAGGGCACTGTAAAGACCAGTCCAGAGCTTTGCATTGATGCCCAGGTCACTAGTGAGCCCTAATGGCCAAAAGAAAAAATCAGTCAGGTTACTCAGTGCCTCAGATTTTGTAAGCTACTCAAGAAAACTGAAAATAATATTTTAAAGCATGAGGGCAAAAGTGTCATAGGAAGTATCTATTTTTTGTAAAATAGATTAGATTATTTCCATTATTTTAATATCTTTTTTGTGAGACACTGACAAGCTCTTTTAAGAATGTTACTGAGACCTATTTTCACAAGGCAAATATAAATATTCACGTTAAAGCTGTTGGAGCTGACCTACATTTTAAACAAAGCATTATTTTTAATTTTTTTTAAAATTTACCTAATAAATACATTTCTTCACGAAGGTCTGTGATACTTAATAATTCTGCATTCTGCTGCTGGCAGCTTTTTCTTGCTTGGTGCCATGTCAAAAGTGACTCCGAGTTTATCTGATAGCGGGTTGCTGTCACAGGATTTGTTTTCCAAAGATTATTGTGGGTGGTGTCTATAAAAAATTATATCAGCAATTTGACAAGATAATCATATTTGCTAACTCAGAAAACAAAATCTTTGTTGCAGAATAAAACTATATAACCATATGATTTGATAATTTTTAACATACATTTTTCCTCACTTAAATATGCTTTTTCTGTTAAATATTAATAATATATTAATCACATAAGGACTTATGTCACCTTACAAACAAGAGTCTTACCTTCAGACTCTTCTTATGCTCTCCCAGAATTCCCAACATGACAGAAATGATAATTTCCAAACAATCAGGCATGAAGTGAGGATGAAGGGGTAGAGAATTTGCGCTAGGGTTATTGGAAAGCTGTGTTGGATGATTTGTAAGTATATGGAGCACTGGAGCACTGAAAGCAGGTGAAAGTCACTGCCTGTGTCCTGCACCCTTCCATTCACTACAGCTCTCCTGTTCTCTCCTCCATCCTATGATGCACTACTGTGTCGTGCTTCCCTATGTCTCACCTTCCTCATCCATTGCACTTCTTTCTGCCTTTCATTTGTCCTGACTTTCTTCTCACCTACTCCTAGGGATTTCCTTTTCCCATCAGCCCCAGTCACCACCCTCAGAATATTCCCCATATATAGCAGTCTTAGGAGCACTGTAGGGCAGTGAGACTGAAGAGCAGATACTTCACTTATCATTGCATACCTCACCAGTGAACCAGGCTAGACCAAATTCAGCTTGCTGTACAGTGCTACTTCCACATCCCAAGAAGATTTTGACCATGTCAGTGGAGGAAACTTTTGCTTAACACCTTTTCCGAAATTTTCATAAATTACCTTTTAGTGGACAATTTCCAAACAAGGGGTCCTTATCAAAATCTGAAGAAGTTGCACACCAGAGAGACTCGGCATCATCAGTGTGAGGGATGCACTCAGCATACCATTTACCCTTGAGCTTAAAAGGGAACACACAAGGTGCACCAAAGGCATTTCCTCCCAGTGTATAGATATCTATGGAGAAAAGTATAAATCAATACTTCGAGTTGATATCAGATATTCACCCCAGTGACACCCATAGACAGCTCTCCACAGACACAGCTGAGTTGTGCAGAGCTCAACATATCGGTACTTTGTTACCCCAAACCTTTACAAAGCTGTTGTGCCAATCAGATACGACTATGGAAAACTATTCAGAATTAAAACTCTCAAACAACCCTTAATTGGGCCTCAAACTAATTTCTGTCTAACTTTCTCATGTCACTGCTTTCTGTGCTGTGTCAGAGGTCCCTGTGACTCATCTGCTCCCGTTGCAAACACACTTCTGTCCTTGAATGATGTCTACATTCTTTTTTTTCTTTTTCCTTGTATGGTGGAAAAGACGTTGAAAGAAGATATCACAATATTTTTATTAGTCTTTGTGAGAAGGAGTTATATCTTAAATTTGCAAGTGACTCTGCTAGGAAGTGACCCTGCCATCACTATGCAATCTAATTTGCTGTTATCTGTACAAAATTATGATAAACTTCATTCCTGATGGAACAGTCATAGGGTACTACAAAAATTTAATCCCTTGTTATTTAACTTCCCAACCTACCAGTGTCACAAAAAAAAGCAGTTTGATCACTTGAACTTTGATGTCCACTCTATATAGCTCAAGATCCATAAAAATGTAGGAAATGGAGATCTGACTCTCCAGTGGTTCTTTGTCAGAGTGTTAAGAATTGTTGCATCCTAAACTATAGTCACTGTTTCTCCTTTTGCTTTTTCCTACTTGTTCTTTTTACTGGGCCTAGGAAACACTAGGTAAATATTGTTAATGGTGGATTACATCTATGTTAACTAGAAATTAACTTCTTAGAGATAGCACATGATCAAATCGAGTAATAGCAACAATAAAAAGTAATACAACACAATCATCTCTTCTACAAATTGATCAGACATATTTTGAAACAGTCATAGATTTCCTTTTGCTGTTGCTTTACAAACAGAATTCCCATTCTTCCTTATGATTACATCATAGGCCTTTGTAATTTTAGTCTATCATTTGAAAGAATTGCATTTAACAAGTTATGCAGAAATGTGCGGTTATGTTTGCCAAAAAGTATCCACTTGTATTTGCCTTTCATTTCTACACCATGTTTGTAGCTATCACGTCTACTGATATCACTGTAAGAAAATGGAGCTGTCAAGCAGGCAGCAGAACACTCTGCAGATAGGGGCAGTCAAGTTACCTCGAAATAGAGAAGAATTTTCAGTACTCACCCTCATAGCGCTGAGAGCACAAGCTGTCTGTAGTTCCATAGATTTTCCACCTGCTCCCTTTGCCTGATCCTTTGGACAGCCTGACTTTCTTCCCCTTCCCTTTGCCATAGTTGAGAAACAAATCCTTGCCATAGCTTGCAACTGTCTCATTTCTACATTCCCACCATTGGAGTTCATTTGTCCTGTTACAGGATTCCAAGGTGATGGCAGCCTCATCGTCCTTCGTGAACACTCCCAGGCACAGCTTGAGTGCCATGCTCAGCAGCTGTTTGGCAGAGACCCACTTGAACTTCTGAAACTCATCATGCTCATCACAGGTGGCAGTTATGACTGAGCTAGAGTTCTGGGCTTGGGCACAGAGCTTGCTATCTTCATTATAGATTGAAAATATTCCGCTACCTATAAAATAAAATGATAATGCAAACATCTGAAGAGAGCTTTCTTAGGAGATAAAGTTAGTTAATATCTTTGTGACACTCTGCTACCAAAAAAAAAATATATATATATATACTTCACAGAGAAAGAAATCAAGGGAGGTTAATCATCAGTGGAAACGATATTCATGAAAATATTCTTAAAATGAAAACAACACCGAAGCTTAAAATACAGCTCTTTGAAGAAAAATTACTTTTCTTCACATTCCTCCTTAAAGCAGAGTGGTCTTAAAATGCTTATCAAAAATGGCCTTTATTAAATTTCATAACTTCTTCAAAGTTCCACCACAGCATATTAAATAGCCTTTAATTCTTTAAGTAAGAGGACTTTTTGTTTTAAAGCTATTAAAGATGGTTTACATAACTCAAAATTAAACCATTTTTATATTTGGGCCAGAATGACATAGTGGTTTTCAGCTTATCAAGAAAGTGGGGTATTTTTCATTTTTGGTTAATTACCTTGGAAATTTTTGGCAGCTGTGCAAAAAGTTATTTCTTCACAGAGTTTTATTTGTAAGTTTCTCGGGAGGGAACCCACAACTTGCAGCATCATCAGTTCTGGGCACAGTTAAGCTAAGTAAGTATCCTAAGTGCCATTAATAGCTACACTTGTAAATAGAAATGTGACACACTGCACAGCAGGGTTTTGTTTCTTAAGACCAGCTTCAAAAAAAGGGCCACAACTTCAGCCTCCTCCAAATCTTGACTATTTTTGCAGCTCGCCTTGCACCCCTTCAACTCCTTTCTAAGTGACAGGCAACATCATCCAACTCACTCTGCAGTGCCATTGAGCTTTACCCAAGATTTCTTAATGGAATACTAAAATGGGGCTTCATAATCCTTCCCATCTGGGAGCTGCCAGGGAGTGTTGTTGCTCTGAAGGTCTACAGATCAGAACAAGCTAGATGGCATTTCCCCTGGCACAGCTCTCCTGCTGCAGTGGTTCTTCAGAAGGCTAGCAGAGGATGGGTTAGAGCCAGCTTGGTCTCACCCAAAAGCATGCACAGAAGAAATTGTCCTGTAGTGGATTAGTTTGGCATTCAAGCTGCTGCCATCCAAGCAATAGCATTGAACTCCCTGAGTTCTCTAGCTGGGAGCTTCCCAGGGGAAAGGGGAAAGACACAGCATCATCTGTTTTCCTGTCAGCAGTAGGTGTGTGTGAAATCTGATGGACAAAAGTTTTTAAGGTCCTTCCTAAAGCTGTCAGCTTGGAAACAAAATTTCAATATGCAGTGATCAGTATGCTGTGGTCTATACAAGATATCTGAGAAATTTAAAAGTACGCATCAGCCAGTAGTTCTGTGCATGCTGAGAGTCCATGCCCTGTACTTCTGAGCTGTTCTAGCCCCCAACAGAGTAAACCAAGATCAGCTTTTGCCTGCATTCAGCTGGCTCACTTTCAAGAATCATCACTGCCTAGGTTATGTCCACATCTGTAGGCATATTCCTGTCACACATACACCACCTTGAACACTGGGTTAAGGAAAAAGAATGCCTATGCAGATAACACCAAATTGCAGAGCTGAAGGAAACTATTTCAAATTATATTCTGTGACTAGATTTAAATTCACTGCCCACCAAGAGGGATATTAAGAACCCATAAAGACGAACTTGAAAACCTCCACTGTCAGCAAAACACCAAGACTCACCAGATGTTTGAAGAGATGTACTAATGGACAGAAGGAAAATCAGGGTCAAGTAGACAGACATGGCCAAATATTTCAATCTTTTCTGCCCTTCACCTCGAATTGATGCTGAAGACCAAATCAGTGCCTTGCAAGAAAACCCCTCTGCACTGAAGTGGATTAACAACCCCTTTTTAAGACCCAACAGATACAGGGAAGTTCTGAGCTTCAAATAAGGAACTGCGTCATGTCACATGAGTAATAATATATTAATGAATAAACTTTTCTTTCTAATCTAGTGTCTCTGCTGTATAAAAGTTTGCCACAGAAATATGAGATCTAACAGGTAACATTTTAGTGTGGATTTTTTAAGACATACCTTATAAGTCAGAATCATTATTTTTATAAAAAGGTAACATTAACATCTCTTTTCCAGAAATAAATGAAAGAAGTAAAAAAGGAAAGAAAGATTTGTCTATATTAAAAAAAAAAAAAAGAAAAAGCCGGAGTGCAATGCAGTACTGTGAAAAATTAGCTGGGACACCATGCAAATCAAGTAACTATGACATTGGAATCAAAGAGAATCAGAATTTCCTGTGTCTATAATTTCACAGAAAAGAGAAAAACTGTAGAAATAGGATCTGTGCTCTTCAGGAGGCACCTATTCCTTCTTTGGCTCCATTTCTGACTCTATGCAGGAGCAATGTACCCAACTGACAGCAATGATTGAAGAAATTTGGAAAAGAAACCATACAATCCTAGGAAGGAGAGAACCTGAAACTGGAAAAGACTGGATTTTCAATTACTGTTATTGAGGAAAACTAAACTGATAAGGAATACTGTCAGATTTTTGTCCTACTGGTTTCTGAAAGTTTGCACCTCCTAAACTGCATACCCTTCAGGCATTCTGACAAAATTCTGAGGTTTGCTTTGAAAAAGGTCTCTCCATGATAGGTAAAAGAGCTAGAAAAACAGGGTATAGGGAAGAGAAAAGGCAGTTCTGTGGAAGCTTTTTTGCTTATGGACTTCAAAGAATTTCATTTCTCCTATCTTTAGGAGAGGTTGGTGTGTGATACCTTCCCCAAAATTGTATTTGCAGCAAAAGTGCTGCTGTTGCAGGCAAGGAAAACCCTGGATACCCACATGAAGTTGTGGGATCTTGCTTCTATTACTTTAATTCAGATGCAGATGAATGACCCACTGGGTTTAAAAAGATACACAGGGAGTTACAGCAGAAGAAAACTATAACAGGGAGAGAGAATAGTGGGACCTGAAGGCCAGCAGGCACAGCTAGGCAAAAGGCATTCAAAGAATGGGAATCTGAGAAGGATACCGAGACCTGAGGAAAGGGGGAGAAAAGAGAGGGCTGCTTTGAAAGCAGCAGATGGTCAGTTACTCAGTAAGTTATAATGCATATGCAAGGATGGCTGCACTGAGTCTGAAGTCAAGCATTCTGGTACTCCCCAATGTAGGAGTGCTCTATAACCTCAATTTTCCAACTTTCCTTGCTTCATTGTTCAGGAGGTCCAGATGTGCAGATGGAAAAAAATACTCAGATTTATTATTTAGACAGGAGAACTGTGTCTTGTGGTTCTGCTGTATACAACATCTCAGGATCTCCAAAGCTACTGGGCATCAACAAGTACAATTACAACAGGGAAAAATAAACTATTTGTGTTCTGAAGAAAGATCAGTGTTTGGTGAAGTACTAGTATTGACAATCTGTTGAGAGAAGCTGAGAAAGACTGAAACGTACTACAGGCAGCTTTATCTCAGTGTTTGCAGATTGCATCACAGCACACAAAGTGGAAAAGAAAACCAGAGGACTGCAAAGATGCACTCCAGGATCTACCCCTTGGCAAGACACAGCCTGACATTTTAGAAGTGGCAAGGAACAAAGACTGCTGGGTTTTGTGTTGAGTCAGCATTGTTCCTTTGACAATCTCTGCTCCCGGGCAGGAAGTTACATTCACAGTGTGCAAATTCACCACCTTTCTTCTGAAGTTCTAACTTTTTTGGAGAAAAGGGGAAACGAGAATTAAACATAAGGATATCAAGAAACACAGCAACGTGCAAAGAGACAAAATTTTACACACTACTGAATATTGCCATCAAGTCATTCCTCAGCTGCCACAGAAATGCATGGCTGAGTCCATCCAGGTTCATAACTCATTTTCAAAAACACTTATATTAAAATCCGAAAGTAATTTTGTGATCAATTAGCCTGCTATAACCTGATATACGATTTCAATCTGAAATCCCCACATGTAGCAAAATCAGTTTCCAACATGATGTAAAGACTTAAAAAGAAAAACCAAACAAACATACTCTAAACTTCATTAGAAACATTCTAGCCTAAAAATAAACCTCAGAGAGTGAGCAACCTTTCCATTTTTCTAGACAGACTCAAAACACACTGAAAGAGAAACATAAAGCACCTTGCACTTTCACATTATATTTTCATGCTACATAATCAACATTTTTTTGCTTTCCTTTACCTAAACTGCCTGATCAAACATAAGAAATATTGGCAGCGTCTGATTATGCATATAAATTATTAATGATCAGTTAAAAATTTCATTTATTTTTCTATCAATCACTTATGCTTTATCTTGTTTATCAAGGAATTATTTTCCTTGTTTTTATAGCAAGAATATTTCAGAAAAGTGAGAACCCAATTCCTCTGTCAATGTATATGGATGCAACATAGAGCCTGAAAACTCCCCTAAGTAGTGGTGTCTACTCAGGAGACAAAATAAGAGATCACAATAAAAACACCTCGGTTCTAAGGCAATGGATTGATCCCACTAGGAATAGCAGTCAGTAGCAGAAAATGGTTGAAAGAGTTGGTGAAGGATCAGAATATATAAAGTATCAAATTATATTGCATCCATGAATCATATCCAATGAGACACATTTCTTTTTTTCAGTCAAATAGAGAGACATAATTTCCCCATCTCAGCTACCAGGTAAAAGCCTTCCATTTAATCTTATATTAATTAGATGTTCGTTAAAGTGTTCAAGCTTTTTTGTTTCTCTACCTTCCATTCAAAAATTTCTATTATGGTTTGTGTGTAAAGTGCTCATCTTCTGCTTACTACATGGAACTGTAATGATTTCCTGTGCTGTAAATGCCACTGCTTCCATGCTTTATCTTTTTAGTGGGAAATTTGCTTCAATTCCATTGTATTGAAATGCAGCTTAAATTTTCTCCTCTTCTGAAAATCTTTGTGGTCTTTTTCACTCACACTCTTTCTAAAGTGAGCAAGCTAAGTAGCTCCATCTTCACAGTAGAGCTTTTTATATGCAATCTCCTCTATTTTTTCTGTACCTATTTGGACAGCAGAACAGGACTGACACAGCATTTCACAGAAGCAGCTATACCTACTGCCAGCTGTTAACTAGCTAGCATGGCATTTTTAATTCTCTTCAACTTAAAGATGATGGTGGATTTCAGGCAGTATAAAGGGGTGAATGAGCTCAGGATTATCCAGGCTCCAGTAGCTGGATTCTCTCCCTGATACTTTTTAGCAATGTGTCTGGTAAGTATGGCAAAGAACCAGAAATGAGACATCCCCTCAACTTTTTTTATCTTCTTTCCAACCAAACCTTTGCATATATACATGGGATGAAATGTTACCTGGAAGAATTCACTTGGTGTGCAGTCCCAGAACAGGACTAAACTTCTTTTGGGTAGAGACTGCATTTCTTTGCTCAACAGCCAGCACAGGGAGGTTGGCATTCTAGTCAGGGTCTCTCAGCCTTTCATTCTCCCTTTCACATATTATTCTACCTGGTTCTATCTATACCTCCCCATATAACTGAAACAACATTACCCTTAACATTATTAATCAGTCAGTCAGGAGCTTTCTGGCACACAAGCCACATCAGATAGTGTAAAGAACCATGAGAGGTACTGCTTCTTGAGAAGACATGCTTAAAAAACTGTGCATTGAAAATGGAAGCAGCAATAGGAACAGAGCAAGGAAATAACCAGGAGAAAGGGAGTGGAGCCAGAGAAAAGGAGTTCCAAGACAAATTTTCCCATCTTACCTGCACATGTATGTAACTTGAGATTTTTTACTTAAGCACTCAACTCACATTTTTGTTTTAGCTTTAAGCAGATAATCCTGGGAAAGATTCAGGAAAATATGGTTAATATAATACTTGGTCACAAGTTTTGGTGGAATGTCTCGACAGTGGTATCTTCTTTTTCACTTTATCCTCTTACAGTGTCTTATACAGACAAAACTATAAAATGAAAAACTATTTAAAAATGAAAGCTAGTTACATTTTATTTCACAGAACAAAACCTGAAGCCACAAAATCAAACCTTGCAAACCTTTGTATGCAAGTGAGGAATCATGCATGATTAACATTTTACAGGATTTACAAAAATTAAGAATATAAACTCCACTCTGGGGAATCTCAAGACTTCCGTAAATAGTAGTTGATCTAGCCATTTTTTGAGTAAATAAAATCAGTAGTAACTATTACATAAGTAAAGCTAAATTGTTCTTGACTTGCTTGTTCTTGCAGCACACACCCCACAAACCTACACTGCTTGAGAAGACATAGGAGAGCAGTACCAAATGCCATCACCACAACAGCTACTCAGTGCTCCAAGAAACCCTCAGAACACATATAGGCAACATTCTTCCCCCTCCTCAGTAACTGTTGTGCTCATTAGAAGGAAATTTTGCCATGACCTTCATCACCTGTCACCAGCAAAACCCACTTATGGCCAGCTAAAACTCAGGCAGTTAACATCAACCACACTTTTCCATTCCAGAGGCCTGTCCCCAGATTTTACCAGATTAAATCCTAGAATACATAAACTACAAGAACTACATACATAGTTCTCTGTGTTGTGTGAAATTGTGGGAACTGAAATATCACAAAGGGTTTTTTCCCCGCACAGTTCAAAGAGGATGTGCCCAAATACAGACTTGCCATCCAGTAACTATGCCTGTAGTTAAATCCTTAGGAATACCTGAAAGATGGTAGAATTAGAGAAATAGAGAGATGTTTGCTGAACAGCATTGAGCATCTGTTCATTAGCATGGTTTGAAATAAATCTGATGCAAAAATTTCAAATCTTGTAAGCATTCCTCAACTGGAAGTTTTACTTCCTTTATTGCATCCATTTGTATTGTTCCATTTAATAATTAGTCAACATTATCTCTTTTCTTAAGACACACACTCACCAGTGTGA